TGTTCGTTGCAGTCGGATTTATTTTTTCATGTGGAGAAATTTTGGAATTTGTTCGTTGCATTGAAATTTGTGTCTATGTGGATATTATTGGGTTTTTTTTTAGCCAAATTAGGTTAGATTTTTGGGAAAATATTGTTTCCTTTATTGAAAAAAAAAATTATGTCCTTTATTCCGCATATTTTTTTATTTTTATAATTTTTTATATTGCTTCCATTTTTTGTATTTCTAGAATTTGGCATGCACTCCTATAAAAACTAGACTCGTTTCACAAGTTTTGTATTACTAAAATATAGAATAATTGTGTGACGCAGTTATTGTATTTAGCCCCCGTTTGGCCTTTATTCTCATTCTCATTCTTTTTCTCTCTCTTTTTTTTAACCACACAATCTTCCATAAAATAATATTACACGCAAATCAAAAACTTTTCATTCTTTTTCAACCATATATTTTTAAAAAAAAACACTATTCCAACTATTAAAATTTGGCAAGAATGGAGGCCAAACGGGAACTTATTTTCTCCATATAAGTCAATTGAATAAAATATTTCATTTTTCTGCCAATTAATTCTTTGTCTTTTATCTTGTTATTTGTTTGCGATCATATACTTCATATTGTGTCATATAAATAACCTCAATCCGTTTTTGTTTCCCAACCATTCGAATGTCCGAATAAATTTTATGGTAGCTAATATTCTTGCCTTTGGTTAATTCTCTCAAGACAGAAATAGTGCACTAATGATCTAGGGGCGGGTCAAGACAAATAATGGTGTCTCGTCCCATATAAACTCTAGCCAAAATAAGGACAATGGCAGCAAGACAACTTCCCAAAACATTGTAATTAGATTGATACATCTCGCATGCATGCTTGTCACTAGAATGGTGTAATTTTTTTCATGATATAAGTCCAATCAAACACAGCCTTATATGTGAAAAATGACATATAAATCAAGATCCCTTACTCTGTACATTAAGCAGTACTATGATGAATGCAATTTGGATAACTACCAATCCGACAAGGAGCCATACTGCTAAAGCTCTTCATTAAACAATTGAGATACTTTTACAATGTATTTGGACATGAAGTACCTAGAGCAAATTATAATATGAGCAAAAAGAAAAAGAAACTTAGGATTGCTAAGGTACCTTCAGTTAATGATGATGGTATTGCAGTATTTTCTCTTTCTCCTTCTTGCTTTCCTCAGTATCCGCTCCGTATTTTCCTTTGCAGCCTCCATTGAATAATTTCCTACATCTGCCCAACAGAGGGATACATGGAATAATTAGAACAAACACATAAAGGCCAAAGGAAAAAAGATATAGGATATTCGTGCACCAAGTAATCAAAGAGATCTGATCTGGCCTAGCGACGATTTTATTATTTACTAGTTGAATCATTTTTTTCTAGAAATAAAAGACATCTAAATCATGACAGAGATATATTCGTCGACAAGATAAAGAAACCCCCTCACNTAGGTCCCGTATTATTTAAAAGGTGGGTCCCACTGAAATTTGGGCTCAAAGTTGACCCATTAAACCATTTTTTCCAACAAATAAACGTAGGATCTAGATATGACTTTAAATTAATGTTATGTCTAGTTTCATTAAATTAGTGTATTATAGTAATCGGGTTTGGCTAGAATTAGATTATTATTTTCTTCTCAATGGTATTTATAATTAGAGTCCCTTCATTGTAATACTCAGTCTTTGATATGAAATTTGATAATAC